ACAACAAGATGAAAACTAAGAACATGCAGAAGTAAGGTGGTAAACCAGTGGAACTGGTATCTGCAGTGAGCAGCACAAACATCATTTTTTAGTATCACAGTGTTATACAAGAAAACTCGGAGGCATCCCAAAGCTTTTCCTGGAGCTTTCATAGAGGTTGAATGTTATGCAGAACTCTGGGTTTTTCTTGGATGCTCCGTGACCTCCTTGCCTCAGCACTTAAGTACTTTACCTCCTCAGCACTTGGAAGCAATCACATTACCCCTACCTTGGATACCGTATTTTCTTACACAGTGAGATATGTCCTTAGAAATACTAGCATAACCCATGAACCCTACAGTAGATGAATATCCTCAGGAGCTCGAGGTACAGAAACCCTTCTCATTTCCAAAGATCTTTAGCCTTCTGCACCTTTGACTTGCTCTTCCCAGCAGCATTTCATAGGCCTCCCAAGAGTTCTGTCTTCATAGAAGATGAGTCATCTTCCTGATCTGTCTGCCCTAGATCTATGCACCAAGATCGTTAGGTCCTGTATTTCACAGCCCTGCATCTGTGCAGTCAGACTACAGACTGAAGAAGCCGAGTACTCAGCTCCATCTGGTTCTGCATCCCTCTCCTGCAAGGGCTCTCGTGGCCATATTTTCTTTCTTGAGTTGGCCCCAGACACTATCCCAGGTCTGAATGGTAGGCACCACATGTCTCACAGTCTCACATGCAGTAGCTCTCATAGCATAAAGGAGATGGTTTACAAAATCTGGGAGAAACCAAATTAGCATAGCCATTCATGGTATGCACCAGTGCTTCATATATAAAACAATTAATTTTACTAATGCAAAATATGATAGGAGATTTGCTTTAGCAGGAAGATTGGACTCAATCTCCAGAAGTCCCTTCCAACACCTGCAATTCTGTGATTTTGGGAAATCCTTCATCTCGACCATTTCAGCTGCAAAAGTGCAATTGTTAGCTGGCAGTATTCAATATTCCTTTTTTCAGGAGAGCCACTACCCACCAACACAAAATAGCTTTTTAACCCAGGAAGTATTTTAACTACTCCATAAATCTGGTTTTATGCATACTGTTCCATTGCCAGGCCAGCACAGGTATCATATTCTAATGGGATGCAGCCTAGAGCTTTAGTTAACCTCTGGGAATGTCAGGTATCTCTTACGTTCAGCTTTTAAGGTGATAATCCTACCAGCATTATTTACAGAACGATTCATTTTGGAAGGACTCAGTCTGAAAAACTGCAAACCATCCATCTCCCTTCAGTTCTCAACTACGGTTAATGCACCCAGATCCCTCCAGGTGCAGCAGGGCTCTGCTCCATCCTCCCGCAGCTCCTGGTGGTGCTCTTCTGCTTCTCCAGATCCGTCGCTCTGCACTGCAGCATGCAGTTTGTGATAGTGGTCTTGCTGCCTGACATCCTAATGCCAGCTCACAGAAGGCAGTCCCATGCGTGGCAGCAATACTCAGTTCTTGTGCAGTGCATGGAAGTGCACTACTGGTTGAGGAGTCCTTACATTCAGGAGCAATGATCCTTCTGGAATAAGAGTGATTTCTTTTTCTCCCAGGCCTTTAGAAGGGAAGTATGGCTGAGAAAGAGATGAATAAAGAGGGATATCTTCTGTATCCTTAACTGTCTTTTTAGTTTGTTCAGTGCATTATCAGAGTGGGAATTTCTTGCTTCATGAAGAGGATGAAAGCTTCTCTCTAGATGAAGACAAACTCTGATCCTGTGATTTCTTACAGCAATAGATAGATACCTGATTTTGGAGGGCTCTTGTAACATTAGCTGAGCTGAGTGCCAAGAAAGCTCATACCACCACTTGGAGATGGATCTGCAGTCATTGCATTTATTTATTTTAAACATAGTAGCATCTCCAGCTGATCTCCAGGTCAATACACACATTTTGCCCAAGGTGTGCTTTGTGATGGTTATTCACCTTAAGTACCGGCTAGGCTTAGAGTAAAAAAAACTCAGTGGAGTTTACACAGAAATGCAGTCTCTGCATATCTAGAAATTCCTGTAATTTGGACAGCTTTATCTTCTGAGTGAAACAGCCTTTATATTTGCTATTAGTGATACCAACACTAAGTAACTGTCTCCCACAATCACCGGTTTAAAAAATAAATCCACTCCTGAATCTCCAGATTGTGATTCTTCAAATGCAGATTTGTTTAGAGTCAGGTTTTCAGGGATTTCTCTAAGTCCTTGGCGTTAGGATCCTGTTATCTGTTTTTGGAAAGATCTGTTTTTGTTATAGAACTCATCAGGTCTGAGAAACACAGAAGAAACAGCATGAGAAACAGGAAAGAAAAATCTAAAAAGACAATTACTAAGGCAAGACTCACACAAAGACTGCCATTTACCTGTACTCTTAGCATACAGATACTTTGGTTTCCGTCTTTTCACAGAATCTTCCCAGAGATGACTACTGAAAGTAAGAAAGCAACAGTGACACCACAATGAAAGCCGAAGAGCCTTGTTTCAATCCTGAAGTTTTTATCTTCCACTGAAGCAAGTAGCCCTCAGGAGCCTTAGTGGATTAGGCAGCAAGGATAGTGCAGGTAGTCCATTATCTGCTTTTGGCAGCATTTTGCTTTGTTAGTCCGCTGCTCAGTATAGCTGAAAGTAAGCCTTTTCCTCATGTGAATAAGCAGCAGTAAGAAGAAAGCAGAAGTGACAAGAGGCATACAGGATTAGAATACTATTAAGATTTATCCTTCATAAAAAGAGTCAAGAGTCACCAAATACAGACTTGCAGACGCATAATTATTCTTAAGAAAAAACATAGAATGCTGGAAGCAGGAAGAGCACTGTGTTCACTGTGTGCACTGCACAACTTTCCTATACAGACTTTTCCAGACTTCCCACCAGACATATGGTGTTGCTGGAGACAGGATATTAAGCCAGATGGACTTCTGGTCTAATCCATGTTCCTCTGTTGTTATTATTTGTGGTGAAATTTGACAATATGCCCAACATAGAGCAAAGCACAGAGAGTCCTACATAAAACTGTTGGGACAGAAAATTAAATTGAGATAGGCTCAATTATTTTCTCTGTTCCTGTCTTTCCCATGGAGTCTAGAATTGTTTTGCTGGTGACAGAGCGAGATGCTTTCCAGTGAGCTCAGGCATCAGCCATCTCTGTCTTCAGATCAGTTGTTGCACTACAGTTGCCATTACTGGGTGGACCACAAATGTCACAGCAAACACCTAAGCTGACTTGGAAGGTTTATATAGGTCAGAGTCTAGACCTTGTGATGTTGTTTCTTTCTTCACTGAAACTGACAACAAATAAAACCTGAAGAACTGACATTTACTGTGGTGATTGCTTCCTAGGACAGCGTTAAGTACATAGAGTCTGTCCAAGTTTATTCTTTATGGAAGTTATCCTTGATGTGTGGAAGCTAGACTAGACCTAGATGGACAATATTGTGCTGGAAAGCTCCATGATGTATTGTCACAAAACCACTCTCTGTTATTTATGTCTTCTGGCACTTAAATGCTGCTTCCACACTTACAGGCAAGAACATTTCCCTCTGCGCCCACAGACCTTCTGGCACAGTGTGCTTGGTGGCTAGCTCCTGATGGAGGCAGTCCTTGCACTGTGCATCCTCATGTCATCCAGGCCAGGACAACTCAAAAAACATGTTCAGACTCACTTCATGCCCACGGATTTGCAGGGCTTATTTCTGGGTTGCGACACAAGAGCCAGGTCAGCAGAGCACAGTGTGGAAAAAGCACCTGCCCACTTTCCAGAAATAAACCACAGGTTCCACGATAATCAGAATACCATTGAAATACCCTTTCTATTCCTTTCAGACTGAACTAGATGATGATGAGTTTACATCATACGTGTTATTTTTCTAAAAGCTGGGAATAGTCTTTTATGCACAGTGTCATTGAAGAGTGGGCAAAGTCTTCTGTACAACTTTGTGTTGCTCTGCACTCTCTTTTGCATAGATGATAATGCAGGGAGACAGATGGATTGGCAGAATGCCTCTCTGCTTGCTCTTTGCAAAGCAGAGCATGGCCATGGTGAGATCATCATTACAGACTGCTGTGGAGACCTTCAGCTTCCTAGGAAGCAAGCAGAACCCATCTTCTTCAGCCTTAGCTTTACTGAGCTCTGAAATCTTGACTTTTCGAAGGCAGGCACGTTGCTGAAGGCCTTCCAATTAGCCTGCACTTGGCAACATGCAGCTATCTTGGGGCAGTGTTTGACTTACTAGAGGGCACTGCCTGAACCATTAAAATTTCATTTTCAGGTGTATTAAGTGCTCCCAAGACAAAGAGGATACTGTAGAAACACAGGACTCTGAAATTTACGAACATCTAACCAATTCCAGACTTTAATACAGATGGTATTAAACTGCTTGCCAGTTGTGAAAAGGATGCACAACTGTGTCTACGTTCTGTACAAAAATTGTATATATAACTGGCTGTACTGTGGGTGTTCTTCTCCTTTCAGCCAAGGAAGACTTAATGTCCACAACTATTCAGTCTCAGTTTCTCTGCAGAGAATGATAATAAAGACAGAAGTGGTCTGGGACTTGATTTCCCAGTTTCTAGAAATGAAAAGGTGGTGTTACCCTTCTGCAGAAGAGTAAACTTCATTCTTAAGGAGTCAATATAATTCCATAACAGACTCTGCTGTCTAACCAGAGCTTCAAGGAATGGGTCCTAGCATGTATGGAAGGTTGTCCTGATAGTTGCTGAAACTTTGACTTACAAATTATACCACACTTAGATTGTGGGGTCCTAAGTGTCTCAAGGGAAATATATTTCATGGTGTGAAGAAAATCCTGAGTACATAAACAGGCTGATGAGTGATCTGGTAAGTCTGTGTGTACTTCAGTGAAATGACAAGCTGGCTGTAGGAAAAGATTTGATACAGGCCTATGAGCACTGAGAATTTCTGACAAACGTTCACAAATGAGACCAAGTTACCCTGTGTGAATGATGCTGCTAATCTGCCATTTCACCTCCTTAGCTCCATCACCCGTCCCAAGGGTTTCGCTTTGGAACTGTGCGAGAAAGCAGCGCAGAAGACTACGTGAGGCAAAGCTTCCCTGAAATGCACGAGTACATGCGACGGTACAATGTCCCTGCAACCCCAGATGGAGTAGCATATCTAAAGTGAGCCTCTGCATGCAACAGCACATCTGGTCCATCGGCCAGAACATGCGGCAGTGAGGTGGTGATGAGCTTCCCACTTTCACTTCAGCAAGCATGTGGTCACCTACATGGAGGGGTACTTGGAGAGCACAGGAAGTGGTATATTGCGTTAACTGCTAGGCTGCCATCAAGCACAGGCAGTGTTTAAATTCTGGCAATCTTCTGTGCATGGGAGACCTTCACCAGGCAGTGATAAATGCTCAGAAAAAAACATTGCTGTCCAGGCAAAAGTTGAGAATGAAGATCTTTAGCATCTTCAGCATGCTAGTAGGAGAGTTTGTCAGGGAGAACCCTTAGAGCGTTTGTCATTAAAATGAATAAAAGTATTAGACATGTAAAAAGTAACTGAAACTTGCTTTAGGGAATCATAATGTCCTTATGTTTCAAAGACAGTTGTGGCTATCAATCTGGAATCATACAGTTGATTCTTTCTGCTAGGACACTGCAGAAGTGATGACACACCTGAAATACTGCATTTTACGCACAGAAGTTGCATAATGGATGGACTCAGGAATTTCCACCAGAAGTTGCTTCTTTTTTACACATTCTTCCCAGAGCCATCCTAATGATAAAATACAGGCAGTCCTTTGCTTGAGTTAAGCTGGAATCATTCTGTAAGATCAAAAAAGTAATGTAACTTTTTGTCAGGAGAACATCCTGACCCGTACAGAGACAAGGATGAAGATGGAAGGTGCAGCCCTTTGGTCACATGAAAGCACGCAGTGCAACTGTTCTTTTGTACCGTCAGCTTTTGTAGGTGTGCTATTCACTAATTATTAGGTTAGTAAAATTGAATCCTCTGCGTTCACAAAGGCTTAGCACAGAGAAGAGCTGATCTGAGAGAAGGAAATTAATATACCACATGCTCAGGAGAAAGGAAGAGGAACACTTTTGTATGAGTTATCTTCTTGCATTTTTGCTCTAATGATCTCAATTTCGACATCACAAAGAAAACCAAGACAGCACAAGTGTATTAACAATTTTGTTCTTCTCTTCCAATAATGTTGTGTGCTGCTTTTCAGCTGAGCCAAAGTCTGGCTTGTAGTCTTTTCCATTTTTCAGATCAGGTATTTCATGAGAGTGAAGTAAGCCCTAGCCCTGCTGCCCTGCTTTGGGTGCACAAAGGTTGTGTCTTTCATGCACAGTTCCCTCCTTCAAAATGTCTGTCAGTTTAGCATTTAAAGTACAAGTTCCTAATTCCCTCTGCTATGCCTCCAGAGAACCAGACAGATAAATGTTCAGTGCGCACCTCTGAGTCTTGGACTGTGAAGTGTTTCTGTTTGTGACTTTGATGCTGAATGCAGGAATGACCCAGAGAAACTTGATGCCTTCATTATGGATAAAGCTCTCTTGGACTACGAAGTATCCATAGATGCCGACTGCAAGCTTCTAACTGTGGGAAAGCCCTTTGCCATTGAAGGTAATAATGAATTTTACAGCATGGTGCTTTATTTCACATATGTTGCATTTGCTAAATTGTAATTTGGTATTCTGATTGAAACTGCTTATGCGAAACTGAGGACCCCTTTAAGCTAATGGGTAGCATTCTGAGTGACTAAGCAGAGCCAAGGCTTTGCCCTTTTTTGTGTATTTTTTGAGCTTTCAGATCACTCACACCATCTGTTGCCATACTCTGTATAGGAATTATTCAGTACTCATGTGGTCTGTCTGTCTCTAGCAGGCAGGAGGCGCAGCCCATCCCACTGCTCGCACTGAAATAAAGCTGCTCCTGAGATAAGGCTTGCTTCTCTAGGCTCGCTTTTCAGAATTCAGTGAAGTGTATTCAGAATGCCGTTCCACAATTTCACCATTCCCTTTCTAAAGGCCAGGTGGGATCCCTGCTGGATCTGTCACTAAGTGCATCCAAATTGCAGAGCCTTACTGGTCCTGCAGCCCTGCTGTATTCAGAGGGGCAGAGCAGAAGGCAGCATGGAAGCAAAGCTGGTCAGGAGCCACCTGCAGCATGAGCAAACACAGCACTGTTAATCTTCAGGAATCACTTTTGCAATAGATGGGCAGTGAAAGCGATTGAAGTTCCTCCTTCCCTCCCTCCAAGAGCAATTGCTTTGGCTGGCTGTTCCCATTGCACATTAAAACAATCTCCTAAAGAACTGCTGCAGCTGAAAGAGGAAGGCAAAAGGAAGGAAGACTGGTGGAAGCCGAGAGATAAATTAATTTCAGCTACAAGCCAGCAGCTCAAGAGATTTTCTAGAATGTTTAATTTCACTCTGTCAGTGCTTCCTGTTTGAATTCGCACCAGAGACTTGAAAGCAATACGTTTTCTTCCTGTCTTGTGTTACTGAGGAGGACAGATGCTCAGAGCCCAGGCTGTAGCAGGACATGTGCGCAGCAGCATGTTCCACCATGCACGTGTAGTTATGTAAGTCTCAGGTCAGCTCTACTGAAGGAAACCACCAGCTTTCGCAACTTTGAGTCAGTTACAGAAGGCAGAAAAAAAAGCAACCCTCAAATATACATTTTAAAAGAGCTGGTCTTTTATAGCACCCGACTGAGAAACAGTTAAAAGTGCCGAAAATGTATTAACGAGCCCTGGTTGTGCTTTCTCTGAAACCATTTCTTCATTGTTAGCAGATACATTCAGCTACAAATATAGGCACAATATATACCCTTCTCTAAAGCAGCAGGCCATATTTATAGTTCCTGAACCCTGCTGCACTTAGTCTGAGTCCTGTACCAGCACCCTGAAGTGGCCAAACAACAATAATTAAATTCTGTCCAGAGCAGAACAGCAATAAAGGAAAGCCCCAGCCCCTGGGGCTTAAATTTTGGTGAAAAGAATACAGACTACTCCCATGGGCATGTGTGCAGCTTCTCATCAAAAAATACACAGGAAGAAAAAATGTCACATCTGACACCACAGTCACATCCACCGCTCTAACAGTGTAAAGGGATACATAGTCATTTACTTGGCATTAAGGCTCCTCTGCAATGTTAAAGCAATGTAAACCAGAAGAACCTATGGTAAAAGCAGTGTGAAGGCTGTGCTTCTGGACACGACAGATTTATTCATCTGTCTGTATTGACATCTTAGGTTTTTTGAATCTCCATTTTTACATACTACTTTTGTGACTGTAATCATTTTGAAGCTACATATCCTGTTTGTATTAAGCTACTTGCACACGAAGAAGTCTCATCTCAGCATTTTCAGTCCATGGAAAGCATCCAGGTTTGAACACCAGCCTGCTCTGCCGTGCTGGCAGTTGATAGTGTAAAACAATGCACTTCAGCAAAAAAAGCCAGTAAGAGAGGTGACTGTTGTTTTTCCTTCCAGGATATGGCATTGGTCTTCCCCCCAACTCTCCACTCACCTCCAACATCTCCGAGCTGATAAGCCAGTACAAATCCCATGGCTTCATGGATGTTCTGCATGACAAGTGGTACAAAGTTGTTCCGTGTGGGAAAAGAAGCTTTGCTGTCACAGAGGTAAATGATGAATGATGTGTGACCTAATTGAAAGTGCTGAGGTTGCGCCCAACTTGCCAATTATTTCTCTTCATTCTCCACATGACACAGACATAGAGATGGCATGCAGCTGCAGGGAAGCATTAAGCATTAGAAGCAGGAGGCGTTACTCTCAAAAGCACTGAGGTCAGAGCACAAGGAAAACATCAGCAAGGCCGTGCTGCTATGTTAGGCTTGCAGAGCACGCGTCAGAGAGCACATCTGGGGACAAACAGGATATGTAATGTTGTGTTAGAAAATGTGATCTGCTTGCTGTACAACAGATCTGTCTGATTCCACTCCATTATGTGCATCACCGCTGCCGTGGATTCTGGACCATCTCACTCTGCAGTGGTGGCTGCATACACAAATAATGACAGGAGTAAAAGAGACAGCGGGAATTTAATACACCCCAAGTTACTGATGTAACCCTAGCCACTTCCTAGCATAGGTAGCAGGCTGTTATACCAAAAACAGTTCATAAAAGAAATGGCCCACCAAAAGACAGTGCTGAGTACTGACAAGAACAAGAAGCCGTTCTCATACAGTAACTGTTCATACAGAAGTACAGTTACAGGAAATGGAAGCAAATCCTCATGGATTTACAGACTGGTATTAAATCAGAGGAGTTATGCCAGCTTGTGGCAGCTGAAGATATAGGCATTATTTATGAGAAAAAAGATTGCTCTTATCGGAATAGCGGTTTTTCTCAAGTTCTCAAGACTGTCAAGTAAAAAAGATAAAGTACTGAGAAATCAAAAGATCCAGCATGCCTGCTGCTCAGAACATAGATTTTTAACTCAGAGGTGTTCCAAAAGACATCAGTTACGTGTTCTCACAAAGCACACGGCTAGAGGTTGTTGTCTCCTCTTCAGAGCAGGTTTTAGCCGAGTATTAAACCAACCCTCCTGTTGTCCAGGGATGTAGTAGCATGACCAGTTTCTCCTGTAAAGGAAGTACAGGCTCCTGGAGCTCTGACTCCTGCTCTTCAGTGGTCATCTGAAAATCCAGTTTATTTTTATTCAACCTACTCAATTTTTTGTGATTGCTTCAATATACATAGACATGCAAAAGTATAGTTAAATGTGCATTCACTGCTATTTTTGATCTGGGTTATCTAAAGATTATATGATCTAACAAGACAGTTGTTGGAGGAATTTGCTTTTAATGGAGCTTACAAATTTGTTCCTGACAAGCACTTCATTCAGTGGCCTTTTTTAATTCTGCACTTTAACACAGTCTTTTGAATTACATCACATGAAAATTACCAGATGGTAATTATATTAATTACCCTAACTGTCTTAAAGCTGGAGAAACAGACTTACTTTGTTATTAATTCCCAGTGAAGCAATTAAATACTTTTATTAAGTGTTTGCATTTTAAAAGAGGGCAGAGAGGTCAAAAATTGGCCAGAAAACTATCTTTTGGAACAATCTAAAGTCAGAGCAAGGCAAAGCCCCATGTCTTCTGAATTAAAAGTGACCCTGCACTAAATGTGAAAACGTAACTCTGTGGTTCAGAGGCTTTAACTGCATTGGAAGGCAGCTTTACCATGTTATTGTCACTTACATCAGCATGTGACACCTTTACCCAAAAGCTTAACTGCAGCAGCCCCAAAAGATGCTGTCAGAAGTTCCAGTTAAATGTGTCATGTGTGTTAAGTGCTTAAGATTCTATTCGTGAGAGCTTAACAGTCACACAGACAAAAGACATGAAGGGAATGCTCCGTGTCCAAGCCTGTATCTTTCCCTAGCTTCTTCCCTTCTAGATACCAACAAAGTCTCGAGATGATTCAGACTCCACCTTCCTCCACTGTGAACATTTTGATACATTTGCATCTTCTGCTTCCTTTCCTTGTTCTTCCCTTCCCTTCTTATACTAGTATTTGCACCAGGGAAATGCTGATCTATCCATCTCCTCTGATGCCAGACCCTAGAATTAGAACAGAATTTGTTACTTTTGTAATAAGAACAAGCTTTTTATTGCCCAGAAAGCAGTAGCTGGTAACCTTAACTGTTCCCACTGATGGCTGATCAGTAGCAGTACCACATGAATACTCCTTATGTAAAATTGCAATACTCTAGCTTCAAACATATTTCTTTGTGTGCCTCTACCTGGAGCACAGCACTGTGTGGAAGGATACACCTGGACCTAATAATTGTGGCATTTTCAGTTTACTTGTAATACATTTAGACATTCCTCAGTCTGCTGTTCCTCTCCCATTGCCATGTCAGCATGAATCATAGAACAGCTAGTCAAGAAAAGGATGAACCAAGGTGGGACTGTAAATTCCTTCTTCCTATGGAACTTTTGGGAACTGGCAGCTTTGCAGCTTCCTGCTCATGGGAGTGGAACAGCTTGAGCACTGAGCAGTTGTTACCACAGGCAGTGAATAACCTGAACAGGAAAGCTGCACATCAGTTAGCAGTGATATTTACTGTTAGGACCAATTAGCAGTGATCAAGGTAGAGTGCTCAGGAGGTGAGTTGGCACTGAGAGGTTTCTCAGGAAAATATGAAAGAGAACGGCCCGTTATGGTGCAGGGGATGGTCAGCTGCTGGAGGCAGCTAGCTATATATACAGACTTCTTAATAGCTCTTATGGGACATTTTCAAAAATGTTATTATTTAAATTTTAACTTCCATTTAATTGGAAAGGTTGATTATTCTCCATTCATAAGTGTAATATAACTGAAGCTCTGGAGCTTGAAGACTGACTGGCACATGGACTGGCAATTCAGTCCTATCAAATAATAGAAGGAACAAAAAGTCACACTATCCTGTATTGCATGCAGTGACAGCATGGTCCCTTCATCCTTTCTCATCAGTGGTGGAATCCACCAATGGCTGTTCTCTGGAATCTTGGAAGAAATTGCCAAAACTTGGTTTGCTGTGTCTGGTGCCCACACTGGTGATCCTTGGCCTCAGTATTGCACAGGATGCATCATCAGACAGTGCCTTGTTCATCCTGCCATAATTTTATCCCATTGTCATCTGGCAATCAGTCTTTGTGCTCTACGTTTGACCAGTGTCCTCAAGGATTCCATTTTGTTGTCACTTTACAACAGCTGGGTTTCTCCCCATCTCCCTGAAGCTCTGGTTTACTTGCTTGTCACTGGTGCACTGCAAATGTCAGGGAGGCCCCCCACAAGAAGAAAAGCAGTGTTTGTGTTTATTTGGCTATTCAAGAAAAGCCTCCATCAGTCACATGTGGTTATATCAGTCCATGTAAAACTATACAAAGAGTAGGAACAAAGTTACTGCTGTCAGGATTTCCTCAGCCTGCACGTATACTGTGTGGGAGGAGAGCTGGCCCTTGCTCACTGCAGGACTGGAAACTTGACAAAGGTTGTCATAAAACCACAGACACTACATTGCAAAGGGTTTGTATCTTTGTGGGATGATCTAATGACGTCTGCACGTGCTCAAGGAAGAAAACTGCTTTCCACATGGTCCTTGGGAAACAAGTATGTGAGTATTGAGTCGTGCAGCACAGTATGGAAAAGTGTTTTTGAGCTCCTTAGAAAATGAATATCAGATTTAGATTCACCTGTCCAAATGGAGAAAAGAGTTGTGTATGTTAAGAGGCAGAATTATTACTCCCAATTCGTCAGCCTGTAATGTCACAGAAACAGACAGCCCACTGCCTAATTCTGATGGTATTTGTGTTGTTGTTCTTCCTACTGCTGACAGGAGTTGAGTAATGTATGAGTTAAATGAAAAGGATTGATTACAGAAGAGAGTTTTATGCAGTTCTGTGCAGAACTTTTCTCAGGAGGGGAAAGGAACTTGTAATCTGAGACGAAGTTATTTACAGTATCTTAAAATTTGACACTTGATACCCTGAAGCTATAGTCACCAGTCTTTGCCATGGACAATCCTCTAAAGAGATTAAATATATATTACATCAATGCTGCCACTTCTTTGAAAGCACACAAAGCCATAAGAATAATAAATGAATGAAGAATGAATGAATGGATGAATGGACGGATGGGTGAATGCCTGTCTGCAGCTACAAGAAATGCTACAATGTGGGGACAGGACAGCTTTTAATACTGTCTGCTTACCTAAATACAAGCATCAGTGTCAGCAGGATTTTGGAAATCTACAGAGGTGCCTGAATGTCTTTAAAAATCTGCTCTTTATATCCATTTATTCCTAGTAAAGCTGGAATTAATTCTTTCTTCAGAGGAATTTTACAAAGGTGCTGTAAAATCTAACTGCCTGATCTCACTAAAGCTTTCTAAAATCTTTGAGGGAAAAACACTATCAAAAAGAGTAGCTTATTTTACTATTATAGCTAATACAAACCTAACATCTCTACTTAGTGTTGTGTTCAGCACTGTATAGCATTAATAGCTGTGCTGTGCTGTCAACCTGCAGGGAGTCCACAGTGATATTTAGAAGCTTTTAACTAGTCAAACCTCTAGACCTCAAATTATTTGACGGCCTATTCACTGCTCTCAGTACAACGAAGGAGAGAAAATTATTTGTTGTCTCTTGTAACGGGGGTAAAGCAGGAGTTTTGCACATTAAATCCAGTAATGAAACACTGTGTACTGTTTTTGCATGCTTTCCCCTACAAGCAGAAGACAAGTATTGAGCTTTCTGCATCACCTCCCTTCTCCTCAGTGCCCAACGAAAAAAGGAAACAACTCTGAAGAGGCAGCGCAGACTATTTAGGTAGCAATTGGAGATGTGGGTCAGTGAATAAGAAATGTGTCTCTGAGGATATATAAAAAGGCAGATACCTTCACAACCATTCTTGTATTTGTTGGTTTGCACAAATTGCCAATTTCTCCATTTGTAAGCAGCAGATGACTTAGAGGCTGTTGCCAGCGTGTCCTCACCGCCCATCACATGCAATTATCACAGGACTGCCTTTAGTTGCTTATTGCTTCAGAGCCACCACACAGGCATAATTGAGTCGCTTCTGAAAGACAGGGAGCTACCTCCTCAATTTATGGTTACAAACCTGGAGTGAGAACTGTTCTTTCACCTTCGGTTAATAGAGAATACGGCACATTATGAGCTTTTATTGTTAAAAAGTTCTGCAGTATAGAAAGTATTTGCTGTTTTTATGTTGTCAGCAAAGGACTAGGCACCTGACCCCTTCAGCAGAGAGGAATGCAATCATATACAGAGAATGCAGTCAATTGCTGCTCTTTCCAAATATAATCTATATACACCACAAATGTAAAAGAACTACACAGAGAAGTATTGGAGCTTGCTGCTTTCATATTGATCAGCATGATGCTATGAAAAGGAGGGGCACCCCTACCAGGTGATTTCATCTATTATTTAACATATGTGTGCTTCTTGAATAACTGTGAAGAGCGGATAAATTGCCTTTTTACAAGGGTATGTAAGTCTGCTGACTTCAGTGTAGATCCTCACTCAGACTGTCAGGCACACTGTGTTATTTCTCCTCTAACTCTTTGCATGCAATTTATTCTCAAGATTTCCCTCTGATGTTTATCAGGCAGCTCTTTCAGAGTGCTATCTTTTTTATTGCTAGATGAAATACTATTGAAGCCTTGTTTCAGCACTGCCCTTCCCAGTGAAAGATGTCTTGTTTGGGACAATTTCAGAAGCTATCCATTACAAGTGAAAAACACATCTGGGATGCCAGGGTTGGAATTTCTTTCTCCTGTTTCCAAGGAAGGTAGAAAACTATTCTGCAGAGCTGACAGGACAGTGAGTCAGAACCTCATCAGCGTAAATCAGCACACTTTACTGTAGACAACAGAGTTGTTTTTTATGTGAAGAGCTGGCCAACTGTTCTTTTTGCAGCTAGTGCTATAATGGCATCAATCACCAAGCTCAAGCTGGAGGAGATGTCTGAGGTGTGCAGGAATCCCCACTGCAGTTGCCATGGTCTATTGCCAGTGCAGCATAGAAGTGTTCATTCTACTGAAGCTCTGTTCTTGTTAAAGAAATGTGTTACACTGCTTCCTTTCGTTGTGTTCTAAAGAACAGAAACCAAGCATAGAAACCAGAATAGAGAAATAATGCTGTCAGAAACTCAGTAAAAAAAAAAAAAAAGATTGCAGAGCCTTCAATTTCAGTGAATTCATCCCAAATTAGCTCTTTAGCTTAAAATAACCTCTTAACAAGATTTATCAAAAATTGTGATTTATCACAGGTTGGATATCAGGAACAATTTCTTTTTGTGCTGATGCATTGAAATGGCAGTGGAGTCACCATCCCTGCAGGTGTTCAAGAAATATGGAGGTCGAGCACTGAGGGACATGGTTATTGGGCATGGTGGGGATGGGTTGTGGTTGGACTTGGTGATCTTAGAGGATTTTACCAACCTTAATGATCCAATAATTCTGTGATCTAACTTTGAACTAAATCCAATTTATTTTCTAGATTGCACAGTTGTTGTGCTAACAAAGAGCAGTCCCTGTGCTCACCACACAAACAACAAACTCAACAGGTCAATTATTCAAGCTGTGACAGCATCATCCAGGTGGCATGCCCTGACATATAGCCCTACTACCCATGCAATTTTTACCAAGAAGGCAAATAAAGTTCTTCAATAGAAAGACAAGGGTAAAATTTGTATTCTTGGAAATATTTCTCAAGTATTATTTGGGCAGTAATTATTAGGTAGAGTTTTTAAGTTCTTGATAAATTCATAAGTGGGTTATGGTGGCATGAAAATAAAAGTACATGATACTCATGCCTGACCCACACATTGCAGTTCAGGTGTTTCTGGCATAATTGCTGCTGTACATGATTCCACAGACTTCAAACATGATTGAAGACAAGAAGAGATCCAAATTAATTAAAGACTTCCTACTCTACATGAAAAGGGTGGATCAGGGGAAGTCAAGGTGAGGGTGCCTCTGTTTTTCATAACACAGTTACATTAATGTAACAACTGGAGAGATGCTGTGTTTATGCTACTACTTCAAAACATTTTTTCCATGACCTTCCATCAAGGGCAGAGCATGAAAAAGGCAGTTAGTGTTCGGTTCTCAGAAAATAGGAATAGTCTTAGCTCACTGCTGATGAAAGATTTGCTCTACAGTTCATTGACTGTATTCCTTGAAGCAGTATTTGCTTTCACAAAAGCAAGTGCAAAGACACCGTAAGTACTGGATTCTCCGATGTTCAGCACTTCATCTCATTAGCAAGACAGCAGAGTGATGACTCTCTGTATGGCCCGAATCTCACTCCCATTTGCTGTGACATAACACCAAGTTCTCAAGTAGCCATGCAGCACAGAAAGGCTTTGTTGTGACCAGGATCCAGACTGCTGTGTATCCGCTCAGACCACATTTCCATATAAGAAAATATAACTGTCTGTTAAAATAAGCCAGCAGCTTTCTTCATTAACTTCCCCTTTTGATTTTATTCACAGACACTGCAAATGGGCATCAAGCATTTTTCTGGGCTCTTTGTGATGTTGTGCATTGGGTTTGTTCTATCCATTCTTACTACCATTGGGGAGCACATAGTGTACAGACTGGTGCTACCACGATTCAAGAAGAAATCCAAGATGAAGTACTGGCTCCATACAAGCCAGGTAAGAATTCAGCAGTGACCCAATAAAAGTCATGCTGGAAAAGAGCAATGTATAAAAGGTTGTAAGAAGAGCAGTGATGAATGACATCGGAAGGATGGCAGCAGCTACTGGAATTTGAAGACGCTCACTTAAGGGTGAAATCAGAAGTATATAGGAGTTGCTAGAATTATTCGTAATTCACAGAATTCTCCATTTGCCCTTTTAACCTTACATTTTTTTGGACATCCAAAACAATGCTGTTATCCTAGTCTGAAAGATTTTATCTTACTACAGCAGGTCCCAAATTTTGATGTGTGCAGGAGGTGCTGGCTAGTTTATGCCATTATTCTAAGGAATATAATAGAAGAAAATTGCTCTAGGTGTTTGCTGTAAAGGAAGAGGTTGCGTTGCAGAAAAAGGCAAAATAAGACTTTCTATTGCTTTCAAGCAGTACAGTGAAAAGAGCTTCTTTAGAAAATAACACCGTTTCCTAAGACTTTTCTTCAGAATAATTACAACTCCAAGGATTGTTTGCCAACTATCTATTCACCTTTCAGAGTAACCTTTCTCAGGAAACCATGGGAAAAATAGATTGTTGTAATGACAAAGCACAGACATTGCTTGTATCCTTGAAAATGCAAAATAATTTATGCTTAAGTCCATCACACAAAGCCCAAATTGCTTATGTATTTATGGAGCTATTTTTAATCTTGCTTTTAGTAATTTATTTCTTTTCCCTCTAGAGATTACATCGTGCCCTGAACAGTTCATTTATTGAGGACAAACGCCAGACTAAAACAAAACGAGCAGAAAAGAGGTAGGAATTTTTGAATGCCTTTAAAACAAACTATAGAAATTACTGTGATATGAAGTATTCTCTGCCAGAATATCTATTTATGGATCCAATACACATCAAATATAAGAACAACAACAACAAATAGAAATGACGACATGACAAAGGAGTGAAGCAAAAATGAGCTGTTTCCAACAAAAAGCATTAAATCTAGAAATCTTGTTCTTTCACAATTTCCGTAATAGAATAAAAGCACTTCATTCAGAGCACAGGCTTTTCAGATTTTTAGGTCTGTTGCTGTTGGTTTTCTTCAGATAAGAACCAGGAGATGAATATGCCCTGTGCAATAGCTTCACAGTGAATGCCAGATCAGGTGGTACATGTGTTTAAAAACTTTCAACTTTATTATTTTTCAGAATAAGTACTAAAAAATCCTGAAAAAATGCAGTCCTTTCAAAAGCCTTTGTCTTAACTCTTGTTACTGAAAAAGTAGGTGACAGACTTGCCTTGTGTTCGTAGCTTGTGTGCTGTGAAGAGCAGACAGTCTGACTTACCTATTGCAATAAGGACCACAAGGCATTCTCTTAAAACTAAACATTTGCCCAGTAACTCAAAGCTATCGCTGCACTTTTTAAAGACATTACTGGCATCAGTAATTGGTTTTCTGCAGATGGGTAGAGACAGAATCCAGAAAAGAAAAGTCTTCCTGGCTGCTGCTGTGTGTTTGGCATGACTGAAACGCCACATAACGTCACTCTGGCCAGAACACATAAATGTACGTTTTGTTCAGTTCGTTACTGCAGTGCCAGCGTCAGCAGATATAAGAAGAAACATGTACAAGCTTCTAGACTGAACTAGATCGTCTGTTTGTATCTTTGATGATTAAAAAAATGACGGGCTAAACTATTTGCCACATACTGAGCAGTGCAGAAATTTTGCAGGTGATGTCCAAAAGCCCTACAGAGAACAGCTCTGAGAAAGAATTGCACAAGTATTCTTTCATCATTCAGACTGAGCATGTGCTGCTGCCCCAGAAATTCTGCTGGCACAGCACCCAGCCCATGTGTGTTTCTGCATGGTAGTCTGAGTGTGGTCTGAGCTGCCATTTGCACAGAATTGTGGTGAGTTTAACTCAAAACACCTAGTAATGTGTAGTAGCTTGTAATCAACACTTACACAGCAAGATGCAACCCAGAGGTTTCAGATCAATTGCATTATTACACTTTATATTACTCCTGCTGAGGATTGTGTAGTTACTACAAGCAGCAAGATACAGAAAAGAGGTGGAAAAAAATTGTATTATGGGACTTATGTTTACCTCAAGAGAGGGTAACTACTCAGAGGGGAAACTACTCAGGTTGCAACTCTTTCCAGAACTCCTTAAAGTCTGTTCTGAGAGAGAACTTGTCAGCCTCAGTAGCTGAACTCTAAAGGTTTTCATTTGCTTGTTGATAGCCAAGTGCTAATTTTGGTTTGGGGCCTTTGTCAGAACCAGCTCCCCAGACCAGCCAGCCACAAGCAGCTGGAGCTATGGCAGTAACTAATGCTTTATCAAAGAGCTTCAATTTGTGAAAGAAAAATACATCAGAAATGACAGTGATAATAACTCACACTGGGAAGCTCATGTTGCTGTGCTGCAAAGTTATTAAGCCAGGTCCATTCCTTCAAAGCACAAGGAGCTTTCAACAAGAAATCAACATGTTTTCCCCTTTGTCTCTGCACACCAACTCGAGGCACCCCCTTCCCCTCCATGAGAACAAATGTTACACCTTAATGGTGTAACAAACTTTGGATATTGCATCCACAAAGCTTTTGGAGAGCTCTGGAGGCAGGCTTAAGTCTTCCTATGCTGGAGCTGAGAGTACTGCAATTCAACAACTAAAATAAAAAAAAAATGTTGGGGGAACTTGAATTTTAGGATTCAAGTCTCAGCTGCAGTTTACCATAAGCATTTGGCTATTTGTGTTCATAAATTGTGCTTTCGAGTAATAAAAATTAAAGAAATAATACATACAATTGATAACAGAAGCATCATATTTCTCCAGTGGGATGGATCACAGGGAAGAGATGCATACACATAAGAGGAGGCTCTGATTTTGTACTAACTCTCACACTTCTCTGTTCAGGTCCCACGTAGGGAACAGCCAGCATGCCGTGTGGAATACAGCCAACACAGGCAACTGTCACCGGAAAAAGTACATCTGCACTGACGAAGGGCAAAACGAGGTGACAGTCCGACAGCACCAAGACATTCCTCTGCCACAGGTGAGGAGGGAGACTCTGGCTTCTTTAACGACCAACGGAAAAGCAGAGTCCCTCAGTATTGCTAGGACCTCAGTGATGCAAGAGCTCACGGAGCTGGAGAAGCAGATCCAAATTATCAAGCAAGAGCTGCAACTCGCCATGGACCGGAAATCAGAGCTGGAAGAATATCAGAGGACAAACAGGACTGCAGAGCCCTAGGCCAGCACACTTGGCCCCTTTCCCCTGTCCTTCCTAATTCCCCTTCTCTGTAAAATTTGTAACTCGCTTTTGTAATGCCAGAAAGAGGCATGAAAATAAAGCAGGCAATATGCTCTTCATGAGAGCAGAGTTGCAGCAGCCCACAGCCACTGCCACCATCCTGAGTCCTCCTCCTTTCATAGCAGGTTTCTCGTTCTCGTGGCCAACACCTGCCATTCCCAAGGGACTAGAGAAACAAAAAGTGTCTGAAAAGCAAGAGTCCCTGATTCCTTCACTTGTCACTACAGTGAAGTTTCCTCTCTTTTAGCCCTTTCTGTGCATTAATTCAAAAGGAAACAAAAAAAAATTAAAAAAAAAAAAGAAAAAAATGAAAAGAGGAAAAAAAAAACAGAAGGAAATCTAAACTGCTCATTGGAAGCATGTCCCTTGTTCATATGTTTTTGTTGTGGTACCTATGGGTTTAGTCTCTGTTTATGCTAAGGCTCCTTATGGTTGCCTCATTACACCAGGTGCTAGTTCTGTGTTGGCAACCCCTTCCCTCCTGGCACAGGCTGTGGTTCACGAGACATATTCTTGGTGGTAGTCCCAGTACGCAGCGTTCCCTTAGCTCCTCAGCACAAACGCAGACGTGGCTGTTCTGTGACTGTAAGAAAGAAACTTCACCAGCTTAAAAATAACTTTGCATAAACCAAACCGTCACCTCTGTCTGTGTCTGAGCCCAGGTTCACTTTGCACGTCCACACAGAGAGAAGCCATGCAAACAGCTGCACTGGCGAGTGTGAGGGCTTGGGTTCACAGTGGCACAGGGTAAGGATGAGAGAGGAAGGGAGGGGGTAGCTGTGCTGCAGACCACTACCTGTGCCCTCTGCTGAGGGTTTACCACTGTGAAACCACTCCCTTAATATTCTCTGTCTACAGCAGACATTGAGGTTCTTCCTTACAGTCAAAATGACATAAAGGGGATTTATTCTGACACCAAACTCCCACCCAAGTAGGAGGGAGCTTGGCACCAAAGCGTCCTTGTGGACCAGGGCTCACAGTAATGGAAAACGAGATTTGCTGTTTCAAAGACAATGTACTGAGTGGAGCTCCCTCCCACCTGAATGATAAGTAAAGGGGAAGGAAGGGTAAGCTGTTCAGCATTTGAATAAATAATACATCAATCCAAATGACTGTGTTATGTATACAGGATTTCTGTGAACTGTTAATCACTTCCCAACACATCGTGTGTTGCAGAGAAAAAGAATGCCTTAACATTGTCAGAATTATCAGTTCTATCCAAGATATGTCACTGAGGTCATCTTTTCCCTCTTTGTATCTCCAGCCAACCGTGTGAATGTTGCCAAGGGTGATGTTCTCAGTAGGCATGGTTAAAGGCTACAGCTAGATCTGAAACTGCATTCTAGGGTTTGAATAAAGCATACTACCTTTCTGCACCTTTAACATTTGAAAAGCAGTTGTTAATGAAAGCTCTATATGGACAACTAAAAGCTGGCAGCAGCAACGTGCATAGCAGTTAGCCCCATCAAAACAAGTTCATCCCTGCTCAGTCTTTGCCTTCTGCTTTTGAGAATTAAGTCTGGCTGCTTCCTTCAGTGCAGCCAGTTTCTCAGAAAATTGTGGATTTGAACAGAAAACAGCAAAATGGGGCAGGGGACCTGCACCACCAGAGAGGTCTGAAAGACTCAGGTGCCTCGTCTTCCCTGCTCCTAACAAAATATATGACTGGTCAAGTCACATTGTATTTATTGCCTTTCCTTAGCTTTACCCACCTGACTCATTTAGATTCTCAGCTAATTTGGAAGAGCTTTTTATGTGAATAGCACCCAGTCTCTTCCAATCTCTAACATAATTTGGTTAGAACAGAAAAACACTTTAAAAAAAAAAAAATTATTCTTAGACAAATAGTAGGAAATAAGTATTTTAAGCCAATTCCAACCTTAACAACAGGTTTTTCTACTTCTGTATCTCTGCATGTGTGAGTTCAGGAAAAGACCATCAAATTCAGTTTTAAAAAAGGTGAAACTAAAAAAGCTAATAAGCTAATAGCATCTTAAACAAAAATGTACATGTTCTGTTTCGAAGTTCCAACCCAAACATCTAATCTTTCAAAAAATTACTCTTCCTTTAAAGACAGAAGTGTGAGTGAAGAAATGTCAGCCACCTAATAATGGTAAACAAAAATCTCTTCCTGGTGGGTGCCCAAAGGGCTATCCTATGGCAAACACGGAATAGGGATTATTGCAAATTATTGCAGTAGTAACCAGAGGCCTTTAGGGAAGAGTCAAAGTTCTCACTGCACATCAGAGACATGCTTTGGCTACAGATAGCACCAAGTATTTCCTCTAAACAAAAATGTTCTGTAGCATTATCAAAATGGTTTGGAACAGTCAGACACTCACTCAAAGCTGAAAGCTTCCTTACAATTCAAGGTGAAATTAAGGTGCGTGGATTCCCTCTTATCAAAAAGTTAACCTGAGTTGCACACACAAAAAGGAAACACTTTAAGGTTCTTGCAACTTTTCACCAGACTATAAATGTATACAGGGAAGAATGTGTTAAAAAAAAATACAAGATAGAAGGATTCAGAGAACATCAGATCTTCCATATCTTATCATTTGTCCAGTCTTGAGTCTTGCCAACTCTACCAAGAGAAGAAACCAGGAACAAAAACAAAATAACAACAAAAAAGGATTTTTTCCAGTCAGGTCTATAGTTCCAGAACCACATTAATGGCCTTCTTGCGCCAGGATAAGTTTAGGTTGGATATCAGGAAACACTTCTTTATAGAAAGGGTTGTTAAGCACTGAAATAGGCTCCCCAGGGAGGTGGTTGAGTCATCATTCCTACATGTGTTAAAAAACTATTTGGATGTGGTGCTCAGCGACATGATTTAGTAGTACGGTTAGGTCATGGATGGACTCCATAATGTTTGGGGTCTTTCGCAACCTGAGTGATTCAGTGATTCTGTAATCTATTCAGAGAGGGAGAAGAATCCAGCCTGATTCTGCCTGGAAGTTTGGAGATTGCCATGTGAAAAGGCTGCAGAGATCTGTCCTGCCTATATATTTTTTGGGTCCAAAGTAAATTCTTCTCAGATCATGGCAGATTTTCTTCCTCAGGGGCTTCATTCTGTTTGGATTCTACAAAACCCTATGCACATTTATAAAGGCAAGAGATAGAAGCCAAGAAAGGCATTACTTACCAGATGGCGGTCAGCAGATTGGAATCAGAGTGCTACCCTTAGAACCAGCTTCATTTTAAAGAAAAGGTGGGCAAGAGTTTATAGGACAGTTCACACGCTTTTTGAGCTTCACTACCTCACAAGCAGGGCATAACCTGAATTCACAGATTTGAAGAACAGATGGTGTCTCAATCAAGAAAAGAACACAATAATGATCTTCCTGCCTAACACAAGGTCAAGCTAGTGATATAAGTAGCTCACGGGCGAGTCCTGAGACTTTTACATCACGTGTAAGATGCGTAGCAAGAAGGAAAATCCAAGGAAATTTCCAGACTCCACAGTTTTCCTTCTTTCTGATTCATCTGCTTTCTGGGATGGTTGTTCTGTTCTTTGTTGTTGGTGTAGCTTTGATTTTACAAATAGTAATACTTTCAGGTCATTAATCCGTACTGGTTTGTTTTGCCTATGACAAACAATTGTCACCTTTATAGGTTGCCTCTTCATAACCACGCTCTTCAGAAATCATATTCCGAGTTCCTCTAAAAACACTTCTTTACACACACACACCCTGACATGTGTACATGCACACAGCACCTCTTGGTAGTGCTTGAAATGTTTTTTTTTCATTTATACTTGACTACTCTATCACAGTCACCGAATTTAAATGGTTGTCTCTGGAGAACATTTGCCTCCTTTCCCTTACTTTTCACCAAAATATTTTTAGTTCTGATAAACTTCAAAGTAATTTTCATTCATTTTGGAAGTCAAAGCACTATGTCTTTCACCATTTCTCAGTGTTTAAATTCTGATCCTGAAAATATAATCACTTCCACAGTAATAAGTTTAAACACTACTATTACCTTAAAATAAGAAAATATTTTTACCTTGGGAAAGAATGAGAAAAAAAAGCAAACCTTATCTGTGAACCAAGTCAAGACTGCTTCAGGTGTTTGGTTACTACAGTGTCTGGAGTGAACCTGCACTGTTAGCATATGTACAAAAGTTCAGGCTTTGACTTTCAGTACAAATGCAGAGCAACTTTGTGAGTGGATGGTGGTAAAGGACTAGGGACACCCATAAAGCCTGTGCTGTTTTCTGCAACTGTGAAAAAATACGCTGTTACTGCAAAGCTGATCAAAGACACAGGCAACATTTGCTGGTCAGTCAAGTCCTGCTTCGGTGAGCAAGTATCTGTACCACAAAACATGTAACATGAGCATTAGCATTCCAAACTCATGCTCTTATTTCTCTGACACAAATCATGAACTGTAATCCAGATAGCAACTTAACACAAGTGAAAAAGGCTTGGTTTCATTCCTCCTGCACAGGCTGAGACAGCACAGAAGCCTTACCACAGATTGAGCTCCCAGCCTTTTCTCGCAATGTGTTCCTTCTGAATTTTCAGGACTTATAGTTAATTTACACAGTTCACAAATTTTCAGTCATTTATGTGTTTTCGGAAGGGTAGAAACAGTCCTGCACACTACAAGGCACTGTGTGATTAATTACTTTCACTTCTGGTTTTGTTTTCTTAAAGTGAATATAGGAGAACAATTCAGATTTTTGGTTTAGGGAAGGCACTTGGACAAGGCAACTCTCTGAGAGTTTCATCTTACAAGTAAATGAAGTTTACAGGAAAAACTCCATTTTATGGAAGAATGTTTCAAATAAATAACTTAGCTTTTCATATTTAGGGGCAGACTTCAAACACAGTTTTGCAGCACAGGTAGTACAGCCTACAATGTATGCCATGTCCTTTCACAAGATTACTGTCAGCTATGACAGAATGGCTGCACAAACAAGCCAGCATTTTGGTCCTACTGTTACGTCAGGAATAAGGTGATTAAGGTACAGCCAAAATGACAGAGGTTGTTCTAGTTAACTTTTTTGAAGACTGAAAAGAAATTCATCCCTACTTTAGAAACTTAAAGCCTGGAAAAAACATTTCCATTAATTGGACAAAGACAGAAACATAGCTAGATACTATCAAAGTTAATACAAACAGAAAAGCGATCCAGACCAGAGCTTTTATTATAGCATGTGTGTTACAAGATTAATCTTTGTGGCAAAACTGCACCAAAGTAATCCTTACAAATTAATTTCATGAAACAAAGAGCCGTGTCTCAGCCTAGAGGAAGATGTCCACATCAACAGGATGCTATTTTCAAAGATTTTCCATTGCCTTATCTTTCTCATTTTCCAGATGCAAAGATATGCATATGCTTTTGGTGACAGAGGTGTGCTTACTAATGCAGCAGCCTTCACAGATACTTGGCCTGACATAGAAAGATGCGTGCCTCAGGAGGCCTGGGGACCTTACACCTGGACGCAGAACTCCAGATGGGGCCCCTGCCCAAGGCATCCAGCACAAGAATGCAGAGCTGTTGGAAAGGGTCCACAAAGGAGCCATGAACATAGTGAGAGGGCAGGAGCTCCTCTCCTACAAAGAAAGGCTGAGGGAGCTGGATTTGTTTAGCTTGGAGAAGGCTCCAGGGAGATCACACTGGGCCCTTCTAATTTTTGAAAGGAGCTTCTCAGCAGGAGGGAACCCAACTTCTACACAGTCTGATAGAGACAGGACAAGGAGGAATGGCTTTAAACTAAGACAGGAAATTTAGGTTAGATATTAAGAAGAAATTCTTCACTCAGAGGGTACTGAAGCACTGGAATAGGCTGCCCAGAGAAGCTGTGGGTGCCCCATCCCTGGAGACAATCAAGGCCAGGTCCTAGGATGGGGCTGCAGGCTGCCTGGTGTGGTAGAGGGAAACCAGCCCATAGCAGGGGACTAGACACAGGTAGGCTGTAAGGTCCCTTCCAACCTAAGTTATTCTATAATTCCATGAGTCATTCCACTGAAGTCTACATATATACTACCACTTCATTCTTTAGTTGGTCTTTTAATGGGGGAGCTATTCACACTCAGCAACACCAGATTTGAAACTCAAAAAACATAGCAAATTCTTCAAATAAAGACTTCATTTATTCTGCTGCAGAGAGCTTCCATGCCATTCACACAAGGCTTCAGTAAGATGTTCCCAACTTGACAGTGTGAAAGTGATAAATGGAAAATGTCCTCTCAATCATAAAAAAAAAAAAAATCCACAAAAACTGAAGACAAAAACAAAACAGGGACAAGATAGGAACTGAGATCCTCTACCTTTGTTTGTTTTTTGTTTTTAAAAAAAAAAAAAAAAAAAAAAAAAAAAAAAAGGCATACCCTAAGAACACTGCAGACAGCCCCAAAGGTGCACGTTATAGAAGTGAAGGGGGGGGGGTGGG